AACCAATTCGCAAAAGAAAGTGGCAAGGGCTTACCTGGACGAAGAAGAAGACCATAAATGCACCGAAAGACAATATCCAACGGTTATGAGGGACCACAAAAAACGGAAGGAAACATCCCGCAAGTAGGGCAGCAAAAACAATCGTACGTCGACGTCCCCAATACTGGGAAAAAAATCCGCATAGCGTACCACCTAGAATCGCTCCAATGTTAGCAATAACTAGGGTGACCGTAATATCTCCTGCGCTTAAGTCAAGTTGGTTTTTCAGGAATGTCGGGTATAAATCCTGAGTACCTATTATGATGGTGAAATTTAGTTTTCCAGTAAAAGTCTGAGATATATTTGATCTTTTCTTACCATGGCTGATAAAGTTGAAACAAGCCATCAGACAGACCGTGTGAATGATCCGTATCCAGTGATGAGTAAAGACCAGTTTTATTTCGGTCAACCAACTTTTACCAGATGTTTTTTTAATTGCGTTCTCTCTTTCCCACGCGGGTGATTCCGGCACGAAGAAACGAAATATGATGATCAGAAATGCGGGAAAGGATCCTATCCAAAACATGGCTCTCCAACCAAGGTTTATAATTACAATATAATAAAACACGGCAGCAAGTAAATATCCGGTCGCATAACCTTGCTGCAAGATTCCTGAGAACAAACTAAAAATTAATCAATTAGAGATTAGATTTTAAAAAAATCGTAGAATGTCTCTTTGAAAAAAATAGTTGTGCATACCCACGAGCCTCGGGTGGTAAAACTTCCATCGCCAACGCAGCGCCCAAACCCCATTCGCCCCCCATTGCTATTCCAAAGATTCCTCTTAAAATGATGAAAACTTGAAAATTTGGTGCAAACCCCGATGCTAATTCCACCACACTATACAGTATGATGTCAAACATTAAAGGGTATCTCCTCCCGTACCGGTCAGCCATTTGACCAAATATTAGAGCACCAATCGGACGTAACATTAGAGTGACTGTAATGCTTTTTACAGAAATACATTTGGATTTTAGTGTTAATAATATTCGTTATAATTTTTCTGAAATAAGACCGACCTCGAAGCTATCTCCGAGGGTTTCTTGTTGAACTCATCGGCTATATAGGGTAATGCAAAGGACACAACGAAGAAATCAAAAGCGTCCAAAGTCCATCCAAGAAATGCTGCGACAAAAGTAATTATTTGCGCGCGATTTAGAGATTTCAAGATTTTCCATGGATTCTCGGGACTAGATAATGGAGAAGAGTATATGACCTTCTTTGGAGTATCAATCTCAGGATCCATGACATTCTCAATTTCAATCTCGGCTTTATTCGTTTTTTCCTGACCTTGCGAATCCATGTCTTGAAATTATCTTTCAACATCCATTTGATATTTATTGAACTTCTACTTA